TCATTTATTTACACTTTCTCGTTTATAGGAACATGGTGGGGCTAAGAGCGAGGTTTAATGCACCATTAACCGGTTTAAACTCCCCAGCAGTCATTATTATGCTGCTGACCGTTCCAAGGTGGCGCCCCTCTGTGTTCCTCAGATGTATGTCTATGTTGTTTCATACTGTTTTGGTGACACTTTTGCTTGTGTCCCTTGTTGTTTTCTTGTCTACGGTAAGTATGTTCGCCATTACCCCTAGTTTTTATTTCTTTGATTAACCCCTCCCCCCTCCCCCGGTCTCCTGTCCCCTTCTTCTTTGACTTTGTGGGCCAATTATTCAATCATTTATTTGTTTTCTTTGAATTCCTAATCAGTTACAAATTATTTATCATTTAGTGATTAACCTATCCGTGCTCTGTCTTTGCCCTGTCCTGTTTTTGTTTGGGATCCGCCTGGGCTCATTGCCACTGGTTCTTGTTGCTGGGTCATATAGGCGTTGCGTTCATTGAACGCCACCTTTACTTGTTGATCTTGTTTATCATATTTTAATCTACTATGTAGACAAAAAATATCGCGGTTTCATTCGTAAAACTCGACTTTTTAATTTACGACTGAAGTATGAAAGAAAGACTAGAGAGTTTCCTTAAGTCGCGATCTATTATACAATTTCGACATGAAATCTCGCGGATTTAAAGGTTGCTGTCGACATTTTTTAAACTGACGGTTAAATGTTTGCGGCTTTAAAATGGACGCTATTGGCCACCATAGCAGTATGTTATTAATTTCATTTTGACAATCATATATCTATACTCAACTTAAACAGCGAAAGACAAGCTTCTAGTGTATAATTCATATAACTTAGACAATTTATTGAAATATTACATTTACTAGTGTATTTTAAAGTATTTATAACAGTGATAAATGCTAACTATCATTGCAAAAGTACGTTGTCTATATCTCCATCAATGTATAAAGGCAAAATTGATACATATCAAGAAACGTGAATTCTGCTATTAGCTTTTCCTGCTTTACGTAACTTATATCTTTAACTGCAGAAATGTAGACATACTATAGATTACTATAGATTACAGTTTTATCAACAAAAAGAAATTCCCCTAAAAAAAAGGCAGGAAGTAAAGATATAAGGTAAATGAATATTGATAAATGTTTACAAGGTTAGTAATGACAAGTATCTTAATTAAACGTTTACAAACGGTTTGTTAAAAACATAATAAAATGTGTTAGATCAAAGGTTACATTTCTTGAAGCTTTTTTTCCACACAATTGACGTAGTTGGTTTTTCCCTATGCGATAAGCTTATTTATTCTGATATTATGCTATTTTAAGTAGTGATTTTATTTTTATCAGTATCCAATCAATACACTTGAATATTTTGAACAAGAAATAAGTGTTAAAAATACCATTAACATGTTGTACATATGTCTAATCAGAACTTTGCCGACTATCAAAAAGATTACGTAAAAAGGAAAAGTCAAAAAGTAATTGTATAATTTTTATAGTTATCTTCATACTCAGAACCTTTGCTTTCAGTCGTATTTCGATTTTATATCAATGCATCACTTTAAAATGGCTTAATGCACAACTAAAATAAAAGCAAAATGTGAATGTTCCTTAAGCAAATATTTTAACCAAGATAAGTCATGTTATTAAATACAAAGATATTCATAAAAATAAGCGGAATTAAATATTTCGTAACAAACCGTTTCATTTCGATATTAAGCTAAATTTATCAATCTTTTGTAATTTGACCTCCAAATGAATTACAACAATTTTACAGAAAATTTATGGTTAGTCCAGTATATCTCAAGGCATTTAGATATAAGTCTAATTATTAATTGATTAGCGGTATGTGTTAATTCATTCGATGTTTACTTTATATAATAACATAATAATTGTTCAAATAAAGAAATTATGGTTTCTTTTTATGAATATAGTTGTTTATAGGGGATAAAACCAGACCTTCAAAAATTGTTAAAAAGTGACACAATGTGATATATATCTACGGAAAATGGGAACTACTAAGAATCAGGTGCTCATTACTTTAAATCTAGTATAGATAGTATGTGACAATTATGTTTCTACATACACTTTTTTAATAATTTATGCCATTTCCTGTCACAGGCTTTGCATTTTTGTCAAAATGTCAATCACAATGGCACATTTAAAAGAGTTATTGGACATTTTTTATCATAGAAAATAAGTTCTTTTTATGAAAATTATTTATGTTTTTAGCTCGACTTTTTTTTTTTGAAAAAAAAAGTAGAGGTATTGTTATAGTCAGGTCGGCGTTGCCGTTGCCGTTGCCGTTGCCGTCTCCGTTGCCGTTGCCGTTGCCGTCCGAAAACTTGTACCTGGATCATAACATTTTTAATTCTTGGTGAATTGTCTTCATACTTGGGCACAACACTCCTTTGGACAAGACCTTTGAGTAGACCACACTAATCTTGACCTTCATCTCTAAATGGCCTTTACCTTCAAGGTCAAAAGTCCAATTTTTGCTTGTTCATGCTGTTATTGGCTGTTACTTTGTTATTTTTGAATGGATTGTCTTCAAACTTGAACATAATAATCTTCAAGGATATCCCTTAAAAATAACCAGTCAGACCTTGACATTCACTCATCAATGACCTTGACTTTGAAGGTCAAATTATTGAAATTTTCATTTTTTTGGCTATTATTGGCTGTAACTTTGTTATTTTTGAATGGATTGTCTTCAAACTTGAACATAATAATCTTCAAAGATAACTGTTAAAAATATACCGAAAGACCTTGACCTTCACTCATTAATGACATTGCCTTTGAAGGTCAAATTATTGAAATTTTCATTGTTTTGGCAGTAACTGACTGTAACTTTGCTATTTTTGAAGGGATAAACTTCATATTATAACAGAACATTCTTAAGGACCAGACCTTGTTGTTTATCAAACCCAAATTTGCTTGGGCTCTTTAATGACCTTGACCTTGAAGGTTATATTACTGAATTTTCTCAGATTGTGCATTTATCGGTGTGTGTGTATGTATAGTATATTAATTATATATCAATATATATATAAATGTGTGTGTATATATATACATATATGCAGGTATATATATATATATAAATATATATATGCATGTATATATATATATATATATATATATATATATGCATATATATATATATATATCAAATATATATATATCAAATATATATATGTATATATATATATATATATATATATATATATATACATATATATACATGTATATAATTGCGTCATGTTTTTCTATTTTTAGAAATTGCGTCATTGTTTCTATTTTTAGAAATTGCGTCCTTTTTTTTATTTTTAGAAATTGCGTCATGTTTTTCTATTCTTAGAAATTGCGTCATGTTTTTTCTATTTTTAGAAATTGCTTCATTTTTTTCTATTTTTAGAAATTGCGTCATGTTTTTCTATCTTAAGAAATTGCGTCATTTTTTTCTATTTTTAGAAATTGCGTCATGTTTTTCTATTTTTAGAAATTGCGTCATTTTTTTTCTATTTTTAGAAATTGCGTCATGTTTTTCTATTTTTAGAAATTGCGTCATTTTTTCTATTTTTAGAAATTGCGTCATGTTTTTCTATTTTTAGAAATTGCGTCATTGTTGCTATTTTTAGAATTTGCGTCATTTTTTTTCTATTTTTAGAAATTGCGTCATTGTTGCTATTTTTTAGAAATTGCGTCATTTTTTTCTATTTTTAGAAATTTCGTCATTTTTGTTCTATTTTTAGAAATTGCGTCATTGTTTCTATTTTTAGAAATTGCGTCATTTTTTTCTATTTTTAGAAATTGCGTCATTGTTTCTATTTTTAGAAATTGCGTCATTTTTTTTTCTATTTTTAGAAATTGCGTCATTGTTGCTATTTTTAGAAATTGCGTCATTTTTTTCTATTTTTAGAAATTTCGTCATTTTTGTTCTATTTTTAGAAATTGCGTCATTGTTTCTATTTTTAGAAATTGCGTCATTTTTTCTATTTTTAGAAATTGCGTCATTGTTGCTATTTTTAGAAATTGCGTCATTGTTGCTATTTTTAGAAATTGCGTACTGTTGCTATTTTTAGAAATATGCTTAATGTTTCTATTCATATATAAACAAAATATATAAACAAAACTAATGTGACAAGACAGACCAACTAAATTTATAAAAAGGAAACATCAATATATGTTCAAACCTTTCTATGTTTGCGTTTAGAAAAAAGTAAAAAGTCGAGCGTTGCCCCCGCCCGGCGGTGGCTCTTGTTATTTCTAATTGTTGTTTGTTTGCTTGTTTGTTTTGTAGACCTCAATTACTTTGTGACTTGCTGTAGACTTTTTACTTTTTGATCAGGTGATTAACCATATTTGTGAAACGATCCCAGCTCATGTGATATGCTTTTATTCATAATCAAAATAAAATTCTTCATTTGGTAAATTTTAAAAGTTGCCGATTTACATATTTTTCTTTATACAAGAACCAAATTAGCAGATGGAAATGGAAGAAAATGTTTTCCTGTTTGTGGCATTTATATTCCTTTCTAAAACGTGTTAATATAAATAAGAAAACAATGCATATATAATATCATTCCACAGTTGTGCCTCGACAGAAAGCATGTTGTCTTAATTTGTAATTATTTAACGTAACGTAGTTTTGATTGGTCCGCTTGTACCCAATTTCCCCCCATTAAATGCTTTGTAATGTGATTGGTCACTGAGGTCGGAGGTCAATATTATTTTCTGACGAAAACCGTTGACATTATGGGTCTTATGATATAGCAATTTATTCAATATATAAGGTGTATGATGTATTTACTATATATAAATTAAATGCTTATTAAGAAAATCGTGACATGGGAAAGTGCTAAACCTTTTGAACAGACCTTACTTTTCACAGGTACTCCTGCAATCATTTTTCATGTTAGCTTATCTTCGCTCAAACAAACACAATCTATAAAACGGCTTTCTTCCGCATCAGATATTATTTAAATCTGATCCCGCTTACAAAGTTTTTTGATTTAGGTAGTACAGAAGTTTTATACCAGAGCACCAAACTGATTATGCCTGTTACACGCATTTTTTGCTTCATTTTTCTCGTTTTATTCCGTTTGTCTTCAGCAAATCATTTTCGTGGCGGAACAATAAGTTGGAGTTCCACCGGAAAACCGAATGAGGTAATAATTTATTGTTAAAACAATTAAATTTGTTTTTCACTGTTTCACGTTTGTTCTTCTTCACTTGAGAGCTTGAGTAGTTAGGCAATAAGATAATGAATAGCATATGAAATGTTAACATGTTGTATGAATTTAGATATGACAGTTAATAATTCAAATGACATTATCAAAACCTTCAAGCGTATTTTCGTTTCTCTTTTTATTAGAATGTAAGAATGCAAAAGGTTGTACATATATTCGGAACAAATGCTTTGTAAGTCAAGCACCCATGTAAGAAAATAATACCATTCCTACCGTTTGTTTTTGAGTAAATCTTTACATTTATTATCAATTATTTAAAGGTTGAGTTCACATTTAAACTTGGTTGGATTCTCGGTCGGGGGCCAGGATGTAATGAAAATTTGATTGGAAAATATGTGAATGATTCAAATAATGGGGAGTGGGTTTGCTCAAAGGTAAGTTTCCTTAACATTTATTTCCTACAGTATTTGTAGTTAGCCATAATTACGAATGCCTCGTTCGGCAAAAAAAGAAAAAAAAGAAGAAAAAAAAGCAACAAAAAAAAAAAGAACAATAAAAAACACCATGTTTAAAGATTAAATTTTATTCTTTTCTTTTCACTTTAGTTCTGTTTCTTTCAAAGATTAAGCACAATTCAAACATTAATCTGTCGCTAATTTAGAAAATGTTTCGCAAGAAAAAGATATTTTATACAGCTATATATATCAAACACGTAAATGCCGCTAGAGTTTAGGAACATGAGACATTATAATGTGGAACAAAAGTATTAATCCTATTTCAACAGGGATGTGAACCAACTAATGACAAGTTGTCTGATGTATACTATTATTGTACGGCGGCTAGCAAGGCACAGAACTGGGAGCAAGGAGAAAACAGCTTTAAATATACATTTCCAAACCAGGGACCGTTCACTGTCGAGTAATTACTACTTGTTTCATAGCAATATCTTTAAGCATTATTTGAAATACTTTTACGTGCTTCATAGTACTAAAACAACTTTGTTTTTTAAAGAAAAGAATCGTTACATTTATAATGTATTAGTTCAAGATTAGCAAAAGAAAGAAAGAGCCATGTCAACATGGCCATCCCCCGCCGAATGTGTTTGCTCATTGGAAGAATGTTTATGTAGTAGAGCAAAATAATTCAATTTTAAGAGGTCTTTTGGTAATGAAACCTGATGGCTGAAGTGATTACAGATTTGAAACCTATATGAATACTGATGGCTGAAAATAACAAAAGGCAATAACTGAAAAATAATGCCGGATAGGATATCATTCTTGTGTGCTGAACTCTCTTCTCAATGAGATAAATACACCAATGAAGTTTCAAATTGTACATCCAACACTTTTTCAGATAAGCTCCGGACAAAATAGTATAAAAAGAGCAAACTAGGGCAATAACTCAAAAATTATATCGGGAAGAGTTATCATTCTTACGCACATCATTCCTCCTCAATAAGATCTACCCACCTATTAAGTCTCATGTTGACATCTCAAACACTTTTGAGTTACGTCTACTCAGGTAAAAATTAAATATGAAAAATAAATAAAGGGCAATATCTAAAAAAATGAAAAATATGAAAGGTAGAGCTATCATTCTTGTGCACTGCACACCTCTTGATTGGGATCTATCCACCTATGAAGTTTCATGTTGATATCTCAAAGGCTTTTTGAGTTATACTCTGGATAATATTTATTTTGAAAAATAACAAAGAGCAATAACTCGAAAATAACGCGAAGTAGAGTTATCATTCTTGTGCACTGCACTCCTCCTCAATGAGATCTATCCACAAATGAAGTTTTAAGTTGATATCTCAAAAACATTTTGAGATAAGCTCAGGACAAAATAGTATGAAAAAGAACAAAGGGCAATAACTCAAAACTTATATAGGGAAGAGTTATAATTCTTGCGCACAGCATTCCTCTTCAATAAAATTTATCCACCTTTGACGTTTCATGTTGACATCTCAAACATCTTTCTCCACTCAGGGGAAAAATTAAGTATGAAAAATAACAAAGGGCAATAACACAAAAAATATGAAAAGGAAAGTTATCATTCGTGTACAAGGCACACCTCCTGAGTGAGATCTATCCGCCTGTGAAGTTTCATGTTGATATCTCGAAGGATTTTGAGTGATGCTCTTGACAAAAATTAATTAACAAAGGGCAATAACTCAAAGGTTATGCAGGGTAGCCTCATCATTCTTGTGCACTGCACTTGTCCTTAATAAGATCTATCCACATTCGAAGTTTCAAGTTGATTACTCAAATACTTTGTAAGATATACTCCGGACAAAAATGTCGGACTGAAGGACGGACGGAAGGACGGACGGACGAATACTATTTCTTTCGGCGAGGGATAACAACCAGTACGTTTACATTGTATCACCTTTATTCCGTGATATTGTCATGATCATGAATACGGCTCTATTACTCCATTTTATATATTATTTGCTGACCTATCAAACAGGTTTGCTGGTGGAAATTGGATTACACTTAGCTATGGTGACGGTGACGCTTGGAATATATCTACTGTTGTAGACCTACGTTCCAGAAACGACACAGGAAGACCAAACATGAGCCCTGTAGCGTCTGGAAAACCAGTTTATAGGCGAGAATTCTAATAATTTATACAATTTCAGACTAATATTTAAGATAAGAGAATGGTATTTACACGTTTTCAATTTCACACGCATGGAAATACACTTATGTCCAGTTATGTTTCTTTGACACATAATATCACAATGAAACATTTAATAAGAAGCTTACTGATGTAATGAAATATGATACAAGACTCATTCACATTGCTTAATCTTCTGTATTTTTCTCTTATTTGCCAAAACTTATGATACAATACCAAAATATTTTGCGTCTTCACCATTTAGTATGAAGTACGGCTGTACAAATACCATAAAGTTACCGGTGATGGATCAAGATGGTGACAAAATAACATGCAGGTGGTCGGTAGGCGACGAATGTGCCTCTGTTTGTAAATCTTTGCCGTTTGCGATGATTGATCCTGTAAGAGTGTAACAACAATTCGTCATTATCCTTATACATCGTTCAATAATCATCTCAAAAGTAGCTATTATTTAATTTATTTTGTTTTCTGTTAAATCATATAAATTATAAAAAGGCGTTAGGGGAAATAAGCTGTTGCCCAGAATCGAAGAGATTGGTCATTTAAGATTAAAATTAAGTTACTTTCTGAGACAATATATCAACGTCTATTAAACGTTGTTATTCAATATTCTTCATTTAAATGACTTTTCTCAGTTTTAAGTTTTTGAATTGTTGCGTTTTTAAAGTTATAACTGCTTTTGTGTATCATGGATATTTTAATTTTATTACAGGACACGTGCTCTTTAACAGTTTCTGCAAAACACACTCGAAACGGTTGGTTCGCTGTTGCGATAACAATAGAAGATTCACCAAATCAGGCCTTATCCCTCAATGGTTCAGTTTTGACGGAAGATGATGTCATTTCTAGTGTACCTATGCAGGTATTAAATTGTAAAAAGGGCAATTGTTCAAGAGATTAACATTTCGAGATTGACAGTAAGAAAATTTAAATTGTATTGAAACTTAAATATCATTTAAATTTTGACAACACATTCTTATAAAATTCAAGTAGTATTGAATTATTGCTTGATTTAAGTTGTTCATAATGTACACAACTATTGTCATATGAATCACCTTTCAGTTCTTAATAAACACCCCGGACATACCATCAAGATCGTGTTCTGATAAACCTGTATTTGTGACGCCAACACCTCCGGAAAACCAACTGTATATTCTTACGCCTGGTGAAAAGCTTACAATAACCTGCTATGCTACATCAAAGGGTACAAGGTCAGTAAACCGGAAACGTGTTTTGCAACAAATTATCTAAAAATCTTTAATTTAACACGCTCCTGATTGTTTTTTAAAGATATTATTTATAGAAGAGGAATAAAAGTTATATAGCATAATCCTTAATTTGATCTAGTTTTATTAACAATAATTTGAAAGAATAAATAAATTGCTTGAAAAATAAACACAAAAAACTACTTTTCTTGAAAAAATAGAAGACAATGAGATAGTATTTCCTATAAGAGATATTTTTATTACACACTCTTTGTTATTTTTCTTTCGATTTTGTTTCGAAAACAGAATAACATCGTTTGAGCTTACAGCACCACCTGGCGTAAGAAAGTCTTCAATTCAGTCCGTTCCCGGACGCCCAAATGTTTACAAAATCGTAGTTACGTGGGTACCAAAACAGGAAAATAAAGGACAACACGCTCTTTGTATCGAGGCAACTGATTATTTCGGGTTTGTTTGTTTTGCTTTATACAAAGCAACAACACATTTTGCATAATCAAATAAATCTTATTTTTACATAGAATGATTCCTGAATACAGTATCAATCTCGTGAAATCCTTTGACAGAAATAGCTAATAAGCGTTCCTTTTCAACTCAATTTGGTAATCAATTATTAATTGAGACATTATTTTTATGCTGAATAAATCCTAAACAATCTACATGTAGTTTGATATATTGCCATAAGGGTTTACATATACCATCTCCGCACCGTGTGATCCTTTTTTAAATCGTTTTTTCTTAATAATGATATTAAAAAAATAACGAGATTTAAAAGATATCGATGTTAATAAGCTGGTCATAGTATATTTCTTTATACAGGATTAGCAGCGACTCGCATTGTTTGAAAGTTGTTGCATGGGGTAAGTTTATCATAATGTTATCTACCACGAAGTCGTGTGAATTATTCGAATTGACTAGTTTTAAATCAAGTACTTGTATCTTCTATTAAATTGTTATATTCAATTCAAAGTGACACTATCCTCATTGTTTCGTTGTCAGGTTGAATTGAATTAGATGTATATCCCTAAAAATGACTGTTTTTATTGAGATTGACACACAAACATTTGATATACATTTGTGAAATTGTTAATAATGACACATTTATCTCAAACGATTGACTTTTAATATAGAATGACAAACAATAGATAATAAGACATGCTAAAGAATATAATTCTTTGAGAATATATAAATATATAGTACAAAAAAGACTTCTCCAATCGTTTCATCAAACGAAAGCGTAAATGATATATTATGGAAGATATTTATAGAAATTTCCATGTGCTACATGGATTATTGAATATTCACTAAATTAGAATATGCAATTGGAAATAGTTACGGCAAAATGTAAATGAATTTTTACTATAACCTGTACCACATTAACAGTTGGATGAGATGGTCATAGTGTTACCCAAAACATTTCATTACATCAACCTAACATAACGTTTATATTTATCATTCAAAATGTTCGAATGACAAACAAACATAACGGGGAGGGGGAATTGAAAATAAAAATGTTAAACATGTATATATTTTCATATATCTATTTAATACAAAACAATGTGTCGAAATTTAGATAATCTAAATCTTAGAGAAAATGAAGTATGATATGATATTTTTCCTTTGAAGATATTGATCCATGTAAAAGCAGCCCCTGTCAAAATGGAGGCAATTGTACAAGAACGGGATTTACTGACAATTTTGTATGTACATGTGTCCCTGGATACACGGACTTGCTTTGTCAAACAGGTATGGTTTTACAGCTGATACTTATATACTTATAATAATGAAACACATTTTTGACAAATACAAGCAGAATATTGTTATAATAATTTGCTCCAATATGTTCAAACTTGTATTTATTCTGTAATGGTAAAATTATATAACAAACGCGTTCGTATGGATATTTGTATTCATACTTTAGCTTCAGAATGTTTCAATGACTTCATACCGTTTTAGAAGAGAGTTTTATCCGTTGTGTTGATACAATCAAGTGAGACGTAACACATGAATGTGTGTGTGTGTTTGAAGCCATAATGTTATCTATAAGGTTCTTTTACTTGCATGATCCATTAAAAAATATCTACATGTTTCAAATTAACAAAGCAAGATAAATAGCATATTCTCAAGTATTGTACAATATAAAGTACATTCTAACACGACCCGCATTTTTCCCTATTGAACATAGAAGAACCGAAAGTGTGTGTTATTATGCTATAAAATCACTGTTTGACGTTCTATATTTAGACATGTGACGTAATCATTATACACGTGACGTAACCACTAAAAATGTGACGCGCTGACAATAAGTAAGGACACAAATCAGGCGCAATTAAGCTAATTATAATGTACGGCAGCATTTAGTTGTTGATGTCGTGTTAGAATCGAAATAATATATCCAAATCGGTGAATTTATTGCTTGATAACATCACTGTTTGTCGTTCGGATGCGCATCATTATATCACACGGGCTACGCCCTCGTGATATAATTCCCCGCATCCGAACTCCAAACAGTGATGTTATTGAGCAATAAAATCACAGTTTGGGATATATTATTTCTTAAACAACGCATAACTATATGCCTGCCAAAACTAAAGTCACATGTTCTTGTCATTTTCAACAGATATAAATGAATGTGCTAGTGACCCGTGTCTGAATAATGGCACGTGTTTCGACTTGATCAACGAATTCTTCTGTGGTTGTGTCGCTGGCTTTACGGGATTGCAGTGCGAAACCGGTAAATATTTTATTAACAATAAACAACGTTTTCATTAAAAATTGTCATGTCTTTGTCTAAGCTGCTTGAATATGTTTCTATGGTTACTTTAAATGATTTAAACTGATATTTTGAAAACGATCTGAAGCGGCATACTTAACATTACTTATGGACCTTTCAATAAAACATATTTTAATATAATGTTTATGTTATTATGTCATGATATCAGTGGATTATAATTAAATTCTGCTCAAGCAATATCTTAACAGAAGTCCTGCATCACATACTTAGGATTTGTTTCTAAAAGTACAAAAGTACAGTTTTATTAAAAGTCTTCTTTCCCTTAAATAACGTTGTGAAGTAATATAGAGAATTTCGATCATTATTTCAATCATGCACTTATAAATGTGATTACCATAGGTTATACATTTAACTTTTTTATCTTTAGAAATCAATGAATGTTCTAACATGAGTTGTTTAAACGGTGGTACATGCGAGGATCTCATTGGAAAAGGTGTCTGTCATTGCTTACCAAGCTTCACAGGAAAATTATGCCAGACAGGTTACATGATTACTATATTGATTTAAATTACGAATCATTTTTTAACATTTCTAAGTTAAAATGTTTAGTAAGAAGTTGTTTTATACATCGAATATTGAAGCACATTTCTATCAATGGTTTTAAATGGAGAAAGAGAAACATCACGACTCTATGTATTTTGTTTTTCGCTAGCAGTGGCAAAAATGTTAAATGTTTTACACGTTACCTGGTTTGATGCTTTGTCTTTCTTATACAATTATACAATAAAAAGTAGAACTCCGCTTATGTTACAAATGAATGCTTTAAACATAAGATTTGAAAATCGTTTATAGATCCGTGTCACTAAAGGGATCACAATATGCAAAGGATTTTGAGAAATATATTGATAGTAAAATCTTTAACAAGCTTTTGTGCGACAATGAGCCAGAATTGAGTTAAAAATGTTGTGTTTGAATGGTTTTTATTTCAATGTAATTTTGCCGAGTTAATAAAAGAATTATTTGTATAAAACATGAATGAGTGGATGATCTGAAACTTTGCACATATTAAAGACAAGTCTAAAAAATAACAATGTTATGCCAAACCATCTCAGTGAAATCCTTTATTTGTTTATATTGAAACCCGTCCTGATCACCACTTAGAGTAGTTTATTAACTTTCAAATATGGATAATATTTATAACATTCACAGATGATTAAACTGTTTTATTCCATTGTGTAAGCACTTGTAGATTTTAGCATTACATATCTTACAACGGTCATCGTCACTCGTAAAATGTGAACCTTCTAATTAATATGTTAAATTCTCTTATTGCAGGGATAGATTTCTGCAAGTCCTTACCTTGCCTTAACGATGGGACATGTTACAGTAATTTAACAGGTTATACATGTTCTTGTGTGGATGATTGGCATGGAACAAATTGTGCATTTAGAGACGAGCCAGCCAATAATACTAGCATATTGTTAATGGTAAATATGTTTTACTTGTATTTTGTATGATTGCACTTAAATTTGGTATTGCAAGTATTCAGAAAATAAATTTATGAAATTTTACACTTAAATATGATTTCAAGCACGCCTAACTTAACATTTCAGGCAAATGAACATATGCATTACTCAGACTGCAAATGTCTCCTTGGAAATGAACGCCGACAAATATGCTACCCATACAATCAACGGAAGGGGATTGGCTTTGGCATTCTTGGAGTGGTCTTAGGTATTTCAACAAGCGTGTTGTTATACATTCTCTTCGAGGGAGTGTTTGGAAAAGGTTTAACCTGCCTTCAAGACGTATATCACAAAACACCGGCACGACCAAAACTGAATACATCAGCCTACCCAGATATATTCAACCGTTATAATGACAACTGTAAATCGAATGAAGCTGTGAATGATTATAAGTTTGAGGAGAAGAACTGTGGCCATATTACTAACACATTTCTGTCACGAGGAACATACCACAGTCGTCACTGTTGGGCATGTAGGGAGAAAATAGAACAAGCTAACAATCCTGCTCCTGCTCCCACTCACACATTTCTTAGGAAATATTCTGGTCTGAAAAGGATACTAAAAAAGGAATAAATAATATAACTATGTTTTGTGTGAAGTATATATAATTATTTTAGTATTTTTTTCTCAACTTTTCTTGTGTAGCTATGCTAGTGTAATTGACTTATAAGTGTTTGTTATAATAGAAAATGTCTTCATATATCTGCCTCCCCATTGTAAAGAGTATTAAGCAATCGACTTTTTTTCTTTATCCTTTAATCATTGATAATTATTATGTATTATGTAGATAAATATAAATTCAGGATTGTTCAGTATTTGAATACATTCACAAGCACCAGTAATATTGATAATGTCGTTATATTCGTCTTAATTGCATTATTTCCTTCAATCATTAAGTCGTTTTTTTTCATCTCCAACACATTTAGTGTACTTTATATACACGCATACCGTTTTCATTCCACATTCAATTTTAATCAATTAAGAATATACGAACTGATAAAAAACTTGTGTATGCTATATTCTGTAAGATATACCCATGCTGCAAACAAATAACGTTAGATAGCAGAAATAAAGAATATTGATAGAATATTGTTGTACCCTTTATAACATAGGAAATCCTTGCTGGTAATATCTATATTGAATAAAAAAGTTAATCGTTTTGATTGACGTAACGGTAAGATAAAGAGAGTAGCTAGTGTTACATCATTTTAACGTGTACAAGTATAAATATCTTTTTATACGCAATTAATGTTCAGAATAATAGTGTTGTGTTATTAAGCCCACCTTTCCCCACAAAATTGTTGATAAACATTTTAGGGAAATAAGTGAAATAAAAATCAGAATGTCGAAATATTTATATATATATTTGGTTATTGAAATTATTGATTAATTACATTATAATCATATTATGTTATTATTGTTCAACAATGCTATTTATAAAGTTTATTTACAATTTATATATAAGGTGTATGATGTATTTACTATGTATAAATTAAATGCTTATTAAGAAAATCGTGACATGGGAAAGTGCTAAACCTTTTGAACAGACCTTACTTTTCACAGGTACTCCTGCAATCATTTGTCATGTTAGCTTATCTTCGCTCAAACAAACACAATCTATAAAACGGCTTTCTTCCGCATCAGATATTATTTAAATCTGATCCCGCTTACAAAGTTTTTTGATTTAGGTAGTACAGGGGTTTTATACCAGAGCACCAAACTGATTATGCCTGTTACACGCATTTTTTGCTTCATTTTTCTCGTTTTATTCCGTTTGTCTTCAGCAAATCATTTTCCGTGGCGGAACAATAAGTTGGAGTTCCACCGGAAAACCGAATGAGGTAATAATTTATTGTTAAAACAATTAAATTTGTTTTTCACTGTTTCACGTTTGTTTCTTCTTCACTTGAGAGCTTGAGTAGTGTTGGCAATAAGAATATGAATAGCATATGAAATGTTAAACATTTGTTATGAATTTA